CATGAGTTCAGTTTGTAGGTTTGAGTATTGGGCTCTATGCTGACAGCTCAGAGCCTGGAGCCTGCTCTGGATTCTATGTCTCCATCTCTTTCTGTTCCTTCCCTGCTTGTGAGTTTTCTCTTTCTCTCAAAAATAAATAATAAGCATTAAAAAATAAAATTTTTGAATAAATAAGAGGTATTTGGAAATATGGGCAATGATAAAGAAAAAAATCCAGGCGAATTTGAAAAAAAATAAGCCTACCAGAACTCAAGAAAAAGTGCAACAGAGAAAACTGGCAGAGATAAAGAGACCTCACAAAGTACAAAGGAGCAATAGACAGGTGCAGAGGAAGAGAGGGCGAAGACCCAACACACGTCTCCCAGAACTCCTGGAGGAGACATTGCCGTGAGTTGGGAGAATCAATATTTACCAGATAATGGCTGATGCTTCTCCAAAATTAATGGGAACTATGAATCCCCAGCCTCGGAAATCAACAAGCCCCAAGAAGGATGAAAGATGAAAACCATCACGACCATTAAAGTGAAATGATAAAATACTAATGATAAAGAGAAGACATCACACATTGAGAAAAAAGTGAAATCATCCACAGAAGAATGACAAAGACCAGGGGGGTTGAATTCTCAAGGGCAGAGACAAAAGCCAGAAGGAGGCAGAACAATGCACTCCGTGCGCTAAGGGAAAAGAGCTGTCTACCAGCCAACTACCATTCAATGACAGGGCCTGGTAGACAGCTAGGATCAAATGAGCACAGTTTATCATGGGTTCTCGTTCAAGGGGAGTCGGAAACACATTCCTTATGAAGAAGGAAAAGGGCCTAAGGGGCACAAAGGAGGGTGAATGAAACTACCAGGAGGTGAAATGGGCAGCGGCGATTCTGACGCGTCACCAGAAGGCACCCCAGGTGGCTGAAACTGGATGGCCAGACCAGGTAGGAGAGAGGGTGGCCCGACTCAGGAAGACAATCTAAGATGTTGTACTGTGTGTGTGGGTGGGGTGGGGGGGGGGTAATAAGAGCTGTTAATTTTAAATTCTGTTCATTGTTAATGTTTTCATAATTTTTAAACCCACGAACCAGCCCTCGCCCCTCCCATTAATGGGAGGCTAACTAATCCTGTAGATGAGCTAATCTCGTGTCTAATAAACACCTAAAATTCACAGTAAGTTCCCCCTAGTCCCAGACCCGCTCTGTCCACTCTCTGTCTCCGTCCAGGGAGGGCAGCGCCCGTGCAGGCTGCGAGGCTAAGACCCGTGGACTCCGCCCTCTCGGCCGCCTCTCCATCCCCTGGCACCCTGCTTTCTCTGCAAGCCTTCCTGCCGGCCTCCAGTCTCCTTCACTGTCCTTATGGCCTGTTCTGGAGAGCAGAGCAATCCTTCTACAGGTTGATGCCCCGGTGGCTTCCTTCTGGCTCAGAAGAGAACTACGGCTCTGCCCTCGCTGCCGCGGCTCCAGTATCATGGCCCCGCCCGCCCCGCCCAATCCCTTCCCACGTCACAGCTTACAAATCTCCCCAGATTCTGACACCCCAGCAACACAGGCCTCCTCGTTCCTCAAGTAGGACATGCATGTTACTGCCTGAAGGCTGGTCTTTCTCACCAGAATGTTCTACACTTGGTATTCCCAAGCTGCTGTGGCCTGAATGTTGGTGTCCCCCCAAACTCACATATTGATGCCTAACCCCCAATGTCACGGCAGGAGGAGGTGAGCCTTTTGGGGTTGACTGGGTCATGAGGCGGAGCCCCATGAATGCGACCAGTGCCCTTGTAACTGATCCCATTGTGCCTGGAGGACACAGCAAGAAGGTCCTGGCTGTGAAAGGAAAAGCAGGCCCTGGCCAGACTCCAAATCTGGGGCTGCCTCGCTCTTGGGCCGCAGCCCCCGCAGCTCAGAAATAAATATCTGTTGTTTATAAGTCACCTGGTCTACGACATCGCGCTATAGCGTCCTGCCCCGGCCGAGGCAAAGGCTTGCTGCTTCACCACCTCCTGGTGCTCGATCAATGTCAGCCTCGCACAGACCTACCTCCTGATGGCTCCTGTGATGCCACCCCAACCACTCTCTTTCCTTCGTCCTGTCGTCCTGTCCCTCAAAGTATTTACCATGTGGCATATTATGGCTTTGTTTCCACTTAAGTGTCTTGTCCTCAAAGTAAGACATAGAATCCATGGAGGAAGGGGCCTGGCTTTGTTCACCACTCGATCTCCAGAACCTAAAGTAGTTCCCAGCAGGTAGCAGGCACTCAAGGGTAACCAGTAAAAGAATAAAAATGGATCATATTCCTTCCCATTCCCCATTTTAAGGTGGGGAAAAACAATTTAAAATGGAATTCAGTAACTGTCAAAACAAAGGAGAGAAGCAGAAGCATGGACACAGAAAACAGAGGAAAGTATCAAATAAAATGTTAACATAAGTCCACATATGGGCGCCTGGGGGGCTCTCGGTTTCGGCTCAGGTCATGATCTTGCAGTCCAGGAGTTTGGGCCCCGCCTCGGGCTCTGTGCTGTCAGTGTGGAGCCTGCTTGGGATTCTCTGTCTCCCTCTCTCTGCCCCTTCCCTACTTCTCTGTCTCTCTCAAAATAAATAAACATTAAAAAAATAAAAATAAATAAAACTAAGTCCACATAGATCAGTAATAACAATAAATGTAAACAAACTAAACTTAGCAGTTAAAACAATAGAGGTTGTCAAATTAGATTTTGAAATAATGCAGTTATGGGCTCTTTCTAAGAGATACCCCCTAAATCACAGGACGTAGGCAGATTGCAAAAAATATGGAAGACCAATAAATAGCAAAGACTGTTGGTGTATTTATAGCAATTCCAGACAATTTACACTTTAAGGGAAAGGTAAGTATTATCGTACCAAGCATATAACATTAAAATAAAGCCAAAACTCATAGTATATTACATAAGAACATATGTAAATAAATGGTAAATAGACAAGACATTTAGGTTACCTGGAGGTGGGGGCGGGGATGGGGGTTGTGATTTGCAAAGTACCTAAAAGGGGCTCCAACTGTATTGATAATTTTCTTATTCTAAGCTGGATGACGGATACTTGGGCAGTTAATATAATGTCATCATATCTGTTCCCTGGTAAAAATAGTTCATAACAATTATTGGAAAACCCGCTTTCCCATAGATGATCAGTGACTTCCAGTCTAAGCTGCCAACACAAGATCCCATGAACGTGTAGGTCAGAGGACCCTTTGGGAAGAAGCGCAACACCGTGACCAACGGGGTTTGGAGGCAGCTTCCCGAGAAGGTAAGAACCGTCTTGATTTAGCAGGACACTCTGCGAAACAAGTTACTTAAACTCAGTTTCGTGCTCAGGGAAGTGTGTGTGGACATTAAGAGGAATAGGTGAAGTACTCCGTACCTGGTGGGTCAATGAGCTGCGTCAGAATCTTCCTGGAAATGAGGCGGAAGGGATCAGGGAGGCAGAACGAGAAACGCCCCACTCCCCGGCCTCCCGCGCGGGTGCACCTGCTGTGCACTTTTGGCGTCGTCATCTCACACCCGCAGGGCGCACTGCACCCCACTCAGCTTTGTGTCACCTGACTGTGCCTGGCACACAATGGACACTCGGTCGTTATTTGGAGAATGCTGGAAGCATACGGTGACCTTGAAAGTGATTAAGGACACATTGTATCAACGCGCAAATAAATGGACCCATCTCAGCTCTCGGGTCCGGAGCCCGCAAGATTGTGCCGAGGACGAGGCTTACCCACGACCGTGCCCAGCTCGGACTCCAGCCGGTACCCACGGCTCACAGCAGGGATGAGATACCAAGCACGTTCTCATTCTCCCCGCCTCACAAGCATGTCATGTCAGTTCTTGTGTTGATGTCACTCTCACGGGAAACCTAAGGCAGAACTGACCGAAGGGTGGATGGTGTGAACACTCCTTTAATTTTACACGTTTGTAAAGAAAACTCAGAGGCAATTAATTTTCCCTGCTTATTTCCTCCCCAGCGGTGGGAAGGGTGGCGCTGATTTCCTGGGTCTGTTCCCGGGGCGGGGAGCGCTCTCGCTGACAGCCACCCCGCCGGATGGAGCGACGAGCGGCGCAGGCGGAGCAGGCGACGCACCCGGCCGCCTCCCCGCCCCGCGCGCTGGAGCGCGCTCCGCTCCCCTGCACCCCAGGGCGGGCGCGGCGCGCTCAGCTCCCCTGCGCCCCGGGGCGGGTGCGGCGCGCTCAGCTCCCCTGCGCCGGGGGGCGGGTGCGGCGCGCGGCAGCTGCCGCCTTCGAGGCCCCGGCAGGTCGGCACCTGGCGGAGGCGAGCGCGCGCGTCCGATTCCGGCGAGAAGGTGGGCGGCGACCCATCCGCCAGGACGTCCAGTGTCTGCGCGCGCGCTCTGACTTCCGGGGGGTCAGGAGAGGCCCCCAGGGACGCGGATTTCTGGGGACTGTGTTTTCTCCGTCTCAGTTGCAAAAGGGAGGCCCCGGAGCACCCGCCCTCTGCGAACCCTCGGGAAAGCGCTCGCCCTGCGGATCACTTGGAATCCCCGAAAAAACTGGGAGGGGAGACGCGGTGCCGCCGGCGTGGGGGCGCGGGCACTCCTCTCCGCCAACAGCGCGGTGCGCGGCTGTGCGCCGGGAGCGACGCGGGAAGGGAGCGGCTGCGAGCAACAGGTGCAGCCCGAAGCCACTCCCGGAACGAGGGAGACGGCCGGGAACCGGGGGCCGGTAAGGAGCAAGAGGGGTCTGTCCACGTCTGCGGCTGCACGGGCGTCCCTGCTCCGCGTCTCGGCGGCCGCGCCCCGGCAGAGGGACCCCCGCGCTCTCGGGACCGCTGCCCCCGCCGGGAGGGTCCCGATCGGGGCTCCCTGCGCAAAGACGGTACCAGTAAGGCTCAGCCGCCGGGTGCGTGCCCCTCGCGGGGCCTCGGGCTCGGGAACCCGCGCGCCCTGCGTGCTCGGGGCCGGGACCCCCGGCGTCCTCGGAGCCTTCTTCCCCAGCAGGCGCCCTCGCCGGCGCGCCCGGGCGCCCTGCGGGCCATGGAGCTGGCAGCCGGGAACCTCAGCGACGGGAACGCGAGCGGCCCCGAGCCCCCGGCCCCGGAGCCCAGGCCGCTGTTCGGCATCGGCGTCGAGAACTTCATCACACTGGTGCTGTTCGGCCTCATCTTCGCGCTCGGAGTGCTGGGCAACAGCCTGGTGATCACCGTGCTGGCGCGCAGCAAGCCGGGCAAGCCGCGCAGCACCACCAACCTGTTCATCCTCAACCTGAGCATCGCCGACCTGGCCTACCTGCTCTTCTGCATCCCCTTCCAGGCCACGGTGTACGCGCTGCCCACCTGGGTGCTGGGCGCCTTCATCTGCAAGTTCATCCACTACTTCTTCACCATCTCCATGCTGGTCAGCATCTTCACCCTGGCCGCGATGTCCGTGGACCGCTACGTGGCCGTGGTGCACTCGCGGCGCGCCCCCTCCCTGCGGGCGTCCCGCAACGCGCTGCTGGGCGTGGGCCTCATCTGGGCGCTGTCCATCGCCATGGCCTCGCCCGTGGCCTACCACCAGCGCCTCTTCCGCTGGGGGGTCAGCAACCAGACCTTCTGCTGGGAGCAGTGGCGCGACCAGCGCCACAAGAAGGCCTACGTGCTGTGCACCTTCGTCTTCGGCTACCTGCTGCCGCTTCTGCTCATTTGCTTCTGCTACGCCAAGGTGGGCCGGCGCGGGCGGGCGGTGGGCCCCGGCCTCGGGTAGCTCCCGGGCCCCCGCGCCCCTCTCGGAACCCCGTGGCCCTCGCGCGATCCGGTCTCCTGGGCCTGGGTGACCCGGTGCACTTTGCCCTCGGGTCTGCTGGTGCGTGAGAAAGTTATTTGGAGTCTGGGAGACGCAGGAGAAAGTGTGCAGGTCACTTCCCAGAGGTCCCGCCTCCCCGGGGTCTCCTGCCACCGCAGCCCCTGACCCCGAATTTGTCCCCGCAGCACGGGGAAGCCAGGTGCTCAGCGCCCGCCTCGGAAGAGGAATGGAGCCGGTTTTAGCCCCTCAGACCCAGCCCCGGGGATGAAGTCAGCACCTCACTGCGACTCCCAGCACTCACTCCGCGCGGGCTCCGCAGGCCCCTTGTCCCTCCCAGCGCTGTGCTGGGCGCCTGGGGTGGTGGGTGAGGTCCCCTTCCCGCTCTGTGAAGCCCTGCTCCTGGGGACAGCGTTTTGAATTTTATTTCACCCGAAGTTTAAGCTTTATAACTGAGGTGCTGAAAGAATATTTCTTCACAAAATCTTGACCCAGGGTCAAGATTGGGTGGGTTTGAGTTCTGTTTAGAAGGGTTGCGTAGACAATATTAGGTGATTCAAGCCTGAACCCCTAACTCTCCTCAAGAGGTGCATTAGTGACACATGTGGCCCAGCTGCCCCCTCCCTCAGCTCCTGAGAGCTCAGCAAACCCACATTCCCTTCCACTGACATGACACAGGGACCTGAAGGTTTCCTACTGATCAAAAGTCTTCAGCTTTTTTGATACGCATGCTTGTGTTTGAGTAAGAATATCTGTTTAATCACGTGAGAGTCATTCGTGGGGGTAAAAAGGGCAGTTCCCTGATGTCCTGTGGCTGTATTACTACCATTAGGAAAACAGCTTTGTAGCCAAATTTTGAAATTCCTGCCATTTTATTTCCATCTTCCTCTGTCTCTCGTTCAGTTTGTGACACGGCTGTGACTAAAGGGCCAGGAGTAACCAGATGACCAAGAACTACAATTTCTTCTCTTCCAGCAAAAATGTTTACTACAAGCCCCCTGGTTTTTGCCCCCCTCTCCCCTCCCCCATATCATCTATGTAGAGTTATGTCTATTTGAATGGTAGTAGTTTGGAGTTTTATCTGAAAGAATGGCCTGCCTCAAAGGGTTACATATAAAGATATACTGGGGAGATAGGGCAAGATAGAGCGTTTGGAAGATAGCTGTAGCTTAGCTCTTTGGTAAATGCAATAACAAAAACAAAAACTAAAGCCCCCCCCCCTTAAAAAAACCCCAAAACAAAAAACCCCCATAAAAAACCCCACAAAAAATACTAAACCCCAAAAAACAACCAAAAGTCCAACAAAACAAAACAAAAAAGCAGCTGGTTGTACCGGGCAGTGGTCCGTGGTGTGCACCTGCTTGCTCATTCTGCACGACCATGGGGGTGGGAGCGATCTGAGAAGGGGGTTTGGAAGAGTAAGGAACTGAGCCAGGTTGGTAAACGGTTCAGGAAGGGTTTTCATGCAGAGATGCTGGTCCCTGAGGGAGGGCCTTGGGAGCCGGAAGCTCGGGGCTAGAATATTCGGTGATTGACTCATAATCACCTAGGTAGGCAGAAGCATACTCCTCCTTCATTCCCCAAAGTCCACAGGTCTTCTCAATGGAAATGACAAGGCAGACTCTTAGGAAAACGTAGGCTACATTTCTGTCGTTTGAGAGTTTATGAAAGCACACATAGAGCAAAGCTTCAAAAGTGTTTTTAAAATGTCAACAAATATATACTCATTAGGATACTTTTTTATATGGAAATAGTTTGCTTTGAAGCATAACTGGAAATTGCTTTTGAATTCAGGCTAATATTTGCAGATTCACTCCAGAGTTTGATTAAGACCTTGGTTGTTTCTTTCTAGCTGCTTTTGTTCGGCCCCATCATTAAAGAATGCTGTCCAGCTAGTGGGTCTTCTTCTTGAATGTCAGGTTTAAGACTGACTGTTTCTCCAAGGCCCAGGACCGATGGCCACCATGAAAAGTCACAAATGGATGAGAATTACATTTTTTCTCTACTTATTTATTTATTTATTTATTAACTAAACAAGGGGATTGCATTCCAGTGTTGCCTTCTACTCTCCAAACCTTATGACTTTGGTAGAATGGTTGGTGCCTGATAGTCCCTGTGAAACACAGAGAATGCTCGAGCTGGGGGGCTGGGGTCTGTCTGCGGTATCCCCTCTGGTACAGGGGTGGCCCCTAACTCTCTTCCCGTAGAGGGAATTCTTGTCTGGGGCCCTCTGCCATCTGTCACGAGGGTAAACTCTTCACGTACCCACCTGCTAAGATCTCCCACGTCCCTAGAGACATATGCTGCCAGGATGACCTTGGCTCGGGTTTGAACTTGTGCCTTCCTACACACACTCCTAAGAGTATACAACAATGAGATGATGCCCCCATGCCACCGTCATCTATTAAAGACATGCAATTATGACCCATCATGATGCCTTTGATGGCAAGACCTCATCAAATATATATCAATGTGTGCATTATAATAGATCAATATGTGCTCATAGTGTGGGCTGTTGAAAGGAAATACTGGTATTGAAGAAAATTATACTTGAGAACTTTCTCCATTGGCCACTCAGCATCCCATGGGTGTCTTGAATTCAAGTCACTGAGCTGTGATCCAACTGTGTTTATTAAAGGAGTGAATAGACCCTTGGGCAGCATAACGAGGCAGATGACACTCGACCTTTCTGTTTGGCCTCCTCTCCAGGAGGATTTTGTTTTGCTGCCTGTCCCCTGTTCTCTCTTCTTGTCACTTGTTCTCAGTGAGCAGTGTCCTCCTGTGGTCTCTTGCTGTGAAAGCTGCCATCAAGGAATCTCACGAGACCCGTCCTTTCCAGACAAGATCTCGCAAATCTTCTGTTTTTCTCTTACATTCAGTTTCCGGGGCCCCGAGTTCTGTTGGCAGGACAGTTAACTAATCCATTGTCAATGTATCGGAACCATGTAGGATCACCCTACATGTGACTATAATAAGTAAAATACTTGTCTTCTTGGAGACGATGCTAAACCCCTGTAGAAAGAGAAGTTGTTTAGTCGGGCTGAGAATTTGGGGGCAGAATTGAAACCCCAGTGATATCTGCTTAACTTGCTTGGGGCTCATGGAGTTGGTAAAGAAATCCTATAGTTTCTTACCTAGGGTAGAACTGATCATCCCAGAATGCAACGGGCTTGTATAATATTCCAAATGGATTATATTATCTCCATGCCGAGGTGCTAGAGGGAAGCAAGAAAATGTCTAGAACGGGGTTTTTAGTTCTCTCAGAGACTCGTCTGGGAAACGACAGAGAAGTCCAAGCCCTGAGTCATCCAGAGGCTACTTTTTCCTTAGATGTTACTCAGATGGGACATAAAAATGAACTCCAGTACGAATCTGCAGGTTCAGCTCTGTTGTGTGAAACCAAGCTTACATTGTAAATTCCTACATATAAGCCAAATGGTTCACGTCATGTCTCCTGAGTATTATACTGGCAAGAGAAGACAAAACAGTTTCTCTAATGAACGAAGCCAGTGTCTCTCAGCAGATCCTCTGACAGGGATGTTAATCGTAAAAACTTGCTAAATAGTCTGTAAATCCCCTGGGAAACTGATTTCCCCAAATGTGAGTTTTCTAAAAGCATGGCACGGCGGGTAGAATTAGAATAAAGAATTTAAGGAGATTGTATCGGTGGTGATTTGCTTTAAGGAGCCCACAACAGGAGTCATGAGTTGAGGCAAACATTGCCTGCACGGAAGAATTATCTGCTTACATCACCTGGATTTGCTCACTTGCCTGCTTTCCCCATTGGATGGTGCCCTGGAGGGAAACTTCTCATTTTCCCACTTCTCTAAGATTTAACATTGTGTCCAACACATAGTAGGAACCTAGTGATTGTTCCCATGTGGAGTCTCCGGAAATCAGAGGTGAAAGGCAGACCAATAAGGATACATATATGCGCATATGCCTTTTCTGTAAAAAATTTTTTAATGTTTTATTTATTTCTAGGAGAGAGAGAGAGAGAGAGAGAGAGCATGAGCAGGGGAGGGTCAGAGAGAGAGGGAGTCACAGACTGAAACAGACTCCAGGCTCTGAGCTGGCAGTCAGCACAGAGCCCGACGCGGGGCTCTAACCCACGAACCACGAGATCATGACCTAAGCGAAAGTCGGACGCTTAACCGACTAAGCCACCCAGGTGCCCCTGCACATATGCCTTTTCTGGACAAAACCCCAGAGCCACACACCACAGAGCTCTCTGCAAACAGATGCTTTAAGCACAAACTGCACTGGGGTGCTCCGGAATGTTAGAAAAACCGATGTGCTGAGCGGTTCACGTTCGGTGTCACGTTGCCACCTTAAGTGTATTTCAATTTGAATGATTTTGTGATTTGATTACCGTGTCAGAATGTCAAGAATTGTCAGTGCAAATCACACAATGAACTGTGGCCATGAGGCAAACGGTTTAATTAGTCTGTGTTTTCCAGGTCCTTAATCATTTGCATAAAAAGTTGAAGAACATGTCAAAGAAGTCAGAAGCATCGAAGAAAAAGGTAATATTCATAAATATATATTCTATATGTCACACTTTAGAGCTTAGTTCATTTTTATTCCTGATTTTCCTACTACGCACGCATTGCCTGTGAAACTTTGGCTCCTTGGTGCAGACATTTGAAATGAACCTCTTCCCGTTAGATGCGGAGTAGGAATGGAATGTTGGCCCCCGACGGCATCATAAGTGATCAGATGCTGCATTAAAACTTAGATGGAGGTTTGGGGAGGTGAGGAAATGGGTATTTTTTGGATTCTGAGCTTCCTTAGGAGGTGTGGTCTAGGCTGATCGGGACAGAAGCTAGAGTTGCCGACATCCATAATTTGCACAAAATCATTTTATTGTGTGTTTACCATTGTTGTTGTGATAACCAGAAGGCTTTGGCTTAACTGTATTTTCAGAGAATATTATTATTATTTAAAACATCTTTAATGTTTATTTGTTTCTGAGAGGGGGGGAGGGACAGAGAGAGAGGGAGACACAGAATCTGAAGCAGGTTCTAGGCTGCCAGCTGTCAGCACAGAGCCCGATGTGGGGCTTGAAGTCATGAACTGCGAGATCATGACCAGAGCCAAAGTTGGAGGCTTCACTAACTGAGCCACCCAGGCGCCCCTCAGGGAATATTATTGTAATATGTCCCCTAAGCCCCAAGATCAGATGCATTGTCCTCTCTTCCTCGTGGATTTGTCCTGACTGATGCTGGTCTCCCGGCGGGAGAATTAAATATGGGAGGGTCCCCAAGGGGAATTTTACCCACTTTTAATTATCTTCTTGTCTATGAATCCTGATTTAAATAAGTGTCTCCTGAGTAATATTAAAGCATTTAACATCCTGGTATTTGTTACAGTTCACATTCTGAGAAAAAACTAAGTCACAAATCAGGATTAATCTGACTCTTTCACAGTGTCTTTGACTTTCTAAAGTAGAATAAGAATATTGGACAAGATGTTTAGGGAGGGGTTTATAGGCGGACATTTTCACCTGCAAATAGTAGTCATAACATCTGAAAGTACCTTGCTTGCCCTTATAAGTATTTATTATGACCAATAATACATAACTGGCATAAATTAGAGTTTAATTATATTCATTAAAAAAAAACTACTTAAACAAAGCACAGCTCTGCTATTTCCTGGTTTATAATATGACTCAAAACACATCTGCTCTCAGACTCGATGATGGGAAGGGGTAGGAGCTGGTTCGAAAGCACGAGGTTTGGCCTGGATTCCAAGTACAATGATGTGGTTTTCAGAACATCCCCCTAAGGGTAGAAGGTGAAGCACACATAACAAGGTTGCCTCACCTCTTCCGGTCAGTGATGCATCCTTACACCTCAACCAGCTGTTACATAGGCTTTCGTTTGTCTCTGGGCCCCTTTCAACAGCCGCCAGCGCTCAGTTGTATGAATGCAGGAAACCCTAAAGCTGGCCTTTTCCTTTCTCTGTTCTCAGTGATGTTTTGCTGGACTATTTCCAGTTTTTTAGTTTGCCTCCTAGTTTGTCCTCTGAGCCACTCGTCTCCAAGATTATCCACTGCAGACAATTCAGGACTGTTTAATAATTTCCCCTGGGGTAGTTCCTCACTGAGCACCCGCCCTCCAGGGACCGAGCCAGCCCGCGGGGCTGGGGGGGCACTGTGTCCGCCAACTCCGCAGGGGGAGAGACAGGCACCCTTACCTGTGCGGAGTGAGGCGGGAGGAGGGCGAGTGTCTTTGAGAGGAGGTGACCTGGGCACCTCCACAGAGGGGAAGCCCCTGGGCCATGCACATGCTCCTTTCTGGGATAAGAGATTCACGCTTCCAAAGGAAGGAAGTCAGACAATTCGTTAACTTTGGCTGCACGTATTTGCAGGTTTGGCTACTGTCCTTGTCTGTATTTGCAAAGTGTTGCAGAGAAATTGTTGCAGTCTCATGAAGAATGATGGAAAGAATGGAAATAGGTCTTGTTAGAAATAATTAGAAAAGCTTCTGCTTTACAGCCAAGATATCTGCTGATTAGTGATTAGTTTAACAGTTGCTGTGTTTAGTTTTACATACGTGTGTATGGGTGTGCGTGTATGTATACGTGTATGCACACATATTGTGTTCTAGATCATATGTGCATATGTTTGTGTGTGTATATGCACACATGTGCATGTATGTGTGTTATAGATTTATGTGTGTACATGTGTGTATATGTGCGCATATGTGTGTTGTTGATTATATATGCATGTCTATGTTTGTGTGCATGTATATGTATGCATCTGTACACATATATGTGCATGCATATTATGTGTGTTATATATTATATGTGCATGCATGTGTGTATATGTGTGTATGTGCACCTACATCTGCTTGTATATATGCATGTTATAGATGATGTGCATGTATACGTGTGTATATAAAATATATGTGTGTGAATGTAAATGTGTACATGTATGTATTATATATGTGCATGTATATATTATGTGTGTAACAGATTATATATGGGAGTGTAGATGTGTGTATTGTGTGTGTGCATAAAATGTACAAACGTACATGTAAATATGTGTGTATACATGCATGAATATATTGTATATGTGCACATATATATTACACATCTTATAGATTATGTATGTGAATGTGTATATGTGTATATATTATATATGCATACATAAAAGAAGAGTGCATATATGTATATGAGTGTGTATAAGCACATGTGTATATTATGAATGTGCACAATATAAAATATACATGTGTACCTGTTTAAACATGTGCCCATCATATATGCGTGTGTAAGTGTAATTCTTACCATAGGAGAAGGTGTAGCATTCAGAGGTGGGAGGAAGGTTTCTCTTCCATTCCCGGAGCCTCTGACCCTCAGCAGCCCCTGAACAGATGTCAGGTCTCTTCTGATACCTTTAATTGCCTCCTTGTTTGCACAGATCAAACGAGGTGTAGTGCTGGGCAGGTGTGCGTGCCCCTGTCTGCGCAAGAGGTGGAGTGGGGCTGGGAGGGGCCAAGAAGAGGGCAAAGGGCGCAGAGGTGGAGGACCAGGGGAGACAGGCCTGGCGAGAAGCCGGGGCGGGCGCTCCTTCCCGGAGGCAGGGATGGGTGGGCTCCTGGCGGACACTCCCTCCCGCAGGGCGCGGCGCGGGGAGGTGCTGCTGCAGGTGCATGCTCAGGCCACTTGGGCAGGGATCCACTCAGCATGGATTCTCATCGTCCACTCATCGTTCACTCGGCTCAGCTCGTTTCCAAGCCTCGCCCCCGGGGTGGGGAGAGCTCCCTTCTGCCCGGCCGTCTGCACCCACTTGCGGGTTCGGCCTTCAGGCCCACGACGGGGGTGGGGCAGAGGGCTAGGCCTTTCATGACAAACGTGCTCAACACTCACCCTTCATAATCGCTGGAATAGTATAGAGCCCTGCGGTTGACTGAATGCTCTGCCCAAGCCCTGGCACACGCCAAGACGTGTTTTCTGGTGCAAGGCCGACGAGGCTCCCAGGTCATCTCCGGAAGACTTCCGAATGGGATGGACGTCGTAGGGGATGGGTACCTCTAAGGAGAAACTGGATTAGAGGCTGTGTTGACACCCTGACAACCTGGGTGTCCTCAGCACCTGAAGTAAGCCAGACAGCTCGGTGGCTGCCATTTATACCATTTAGGGAATATTTGCATCATTCTCTTCTGCCGGTCACCTTGTTCTTCCCAGCCGCAGTCCATTAGACGTATTGTGAGTAAGGTTCTTTGAAGGTTCAGATGACTTTGAAAGAGCATCTCACAGGAGGAAGAGAGATTATTTTTTAGATACTTTCAGTAGAAGGAGCAAAAAGCAAGCACAATGATAAAGGGCCCAGTTTCAAGGATAATCAGACAGATATAGATTTTGTACATAACTTTAAAGGATGACTTTTTCAGTATCAAAAGATAAGTGTTGGGATTCTAGACACGACACAGACAAATGAGGGAAGGCGTAGATACACGGGGTTTAACTCCATCTTGGATTAAGGCGAGTGATATTTTAAGAAATGAAAAGAAAAGTCATGTAAGAAATGAAGAGCAATCAGCCTCATTCTGCACGGAGGGGAATGCTCTCATTACATTCTGACATTTCAAATGGAAGGAGAGCAAGGAGCCTTTCCCAGGCTTCCTGAGGGAAAGGGATGGCTCAGCCTCAGGGGCTGTCAATGTCGAGGAAGCAGCTTTACCTTTAATTTGAGACGGGAAGATGATTTGCTTTTGTTGTGGCTTTTATGGAATTCACTGGTGGTTTTTCAAACGCCACTGAACATTTTAGAAAGGCAGATTCCTGGGTAAGTACCTAATAGCCCTCACGCACTGCACTGAGATGTGGGGGTGATGCCTACATGTTTGGAGTTTAGTAAGCAGAGTCCTGGGTAGCGATCGGCACACGGAAACACTTATGTCTCAGGTTTGGGATTTGTCAGATGTGTTATCCTGACCAGCTCTTTTGCAGTCGGTCTTCTTGCTGCTGGTCTCTGGAGCCGGGGGTCGGAAGCCGTGGTCAATCGAGAAGGACACTGTCCTTCCCACGTGGACTCCTTTCCTGTGGCTGCGGTCTCCTCAGCTGGGCCTGGGACCCACAGGGAGACAGAAGACAGACACCTGTCTCCAGCTATGCACCTGGACGCTTTCGCCCGCACGTCGCCGAGGCCGATTTGGAGGCAGCCGGCATGCAGGGCCAGACCCACCTCCAGCTAAGAGAACATCGGCTCTGATGGGCTGAGGTGTTTGATGAGCTGGGAGACAATAGAAAATCCCTGAAGACCGGCAGCCTCTGTCTGTGCGGGCAGACATTCTATTTAATTCTTTTGGGAACAGCCTTAGATAAACGATCGCACTTATGTAAGTGCCCAGTAAGTATTGTTCCCCCAATAACTACTGTGAACTGTCAGCCTCTCATATTCAAAGCTATGGCTTGACCAACAAGAGAGCCTTGTTCGTGGTTCCTAGGAGACCATGGAATTACTAAAAATGAAAAGGTACATTTTAAATGAACTGCAAACACAGATAGCAACAAACAGAAAATATGCCAGAGTCATGTGTATTACCTGTGCTCTATGGACGTTGACACATCACGGATCTTATCAGTGAGCTGCTGGGCTCGAGTTCCATCCTCAGCTTGGCACTTAGTAGAAACTTCCTGAACCGCCATGAAATGGGATATCCAGAGGGTATTCATTTGGGGAAGCAGAGAGAGGTTCTTATTGTCTTAGAAAGAAAAGACGATGTGTTCTGTTCTATTTGTAGGTATAATTATGCCTAGATTGTTTTTGATTAAATCATCGGGGGATGGAATCTCTCAGCGCTAATGGATAAGAGGATTGATAGCAGATGATCTGTTAATACAAGTGAGCGAATCTCTCGTGTGCTCTGTGGGCCCAGCAGTAAACAGCTTTAATATGTAGCCCTGCCTCCCTGTACTACACCTGTTGTCAGATTCTACCTGCGCTGTTTTGTGTCTGGATGGACCAGGTACAGCCAGAGCCATGTCACTGGGACACGGTGTTGAGGCCCAGGGAGGTTACGTCGGTTTCCGTAAGGCTGCACGGCCGGTCATGGCGGCTGGCAGTCCCAGGTGCTTGCGTGGTCCACGGAGCCCCGTGATGGTGGGCTGAGCCCCATCTCCTGCCCCTCCCGGCGCTGTGGGTGCCCTGGCCTCACCCTGAGAGCCCACCCTCCTCTGGCAGCTCTACGTCCACCCGGTTGTAGAATGCTTGGTTTCTGACCCATTTCTGCGATGCTTGTGTCTGCATGTGCTCTTGCTGCCCACCGAGTGGGTGGCTTGCTGCTGCCATCTGGCTGGCCTGGGATTTAATTCATGGTGCGGGTGGGGGCCGCGTCTTGGCGTGGGTGGATGGCATGTCCTGGTGCGGGAGCAGCCCGCAGGGCAGTGCGGAGAGGAGGGCACAGGGCGTGAGGTGGCAGGGTCACTTGTGGTGTGACAGTGGCGCCCTCGCGTCAGAACTGCCTCCTGGGTCCTGCTCTGGCCCTGCGTGAGGGCGTGAGGATGAACGCCCTGTGTTCTGTCGTTTCTTCCTTCTGCCTCCGTCTTCCCAGCCCCCCTTCCCCTTATCCGTCTGTTCTGTCGGGACTAGCTCTGTGCAGAAGGGAAGACAGACGGTGCTGTCAGGGAATCTTGGCGCCCTGGCGGGGAGGTCGGGGAAGGTGCGTCCTTACTTGGGTGGGTGGGGGTGGCTGGGGCTGCAGACTTCCATGTTTCCTCTCCACAAATTCAAGCAGCCTGGGCTCCGTCTGAGGAAGAAGATTCCTAACCTTCAGGGAAGGGGCTCCTGGTCTGCATCTCTCATGTCCTCCAGATTCCGTGGCTCTGCGGGGGGTGGGCTGTTGGCGCCTTGACCTTGGAGCTGGGGCTGCCAGGCTGGGGAGATGTCCTTGCATTTGTTTAGAGGGCTGAGTGACCATTGTCTTGTGGGGCCTTGATCGCCCACCCAAGTGGTGTACAGGCGGCCCTGGGAGATGGGGTAGGTGGTTACTGACCGGACAGACTTCGTAAGCTGTTCTTTCCCTGTGTCTGAGCGTTCAGAGCACGTCCTTGGGGTCACCTGGCCCGGCTTTGGGCTCTAACTTGGCATCGGCTCTGGAACGCCAGGCATCTGTTTTGACCTTTCTGCACCTCAGCCCCCTTGCCTAGGAGCCGTGATCCTGACAGGCTCTGTCCACACCCACGGCTGAGGGTCAGGCAGAGACACTCCCAGCCACGCACCACTGCCCCAGGGCTGCTGTGGCCATGGGGCGATCAAGGCCATGCTCTGTTCCTGGGCAACCATTTCTTCCAGGAGAGGCTGCCTTTTAAGGAAGGGGCCAGCCGATCGTGTTGTATTTTAGTTTAAAAAATATTGAGATCAACATCATCTGTTTGAAGCCATAGAGATAGAGTTTCCAGCTAATCACAGTGTTAACTATCTAGTTGTTGCCTTTCAAACACGTACCAAACCAGCTGCCTTGAAACACAGGAGAAGTGGTTCCCGGGCTCGACCCCAGCCCTTCGGGTGCCCACGGAGACGGTAATGGGCTGGCACATGAAGCGGGTACAGATGGGAAGCAGGAGGGAAGGCTCGTCTTGTGTTGAGGAGCAACGCCTTCCTCCTTCCCTCCTGCGTTGAGGCCCTTAATCGGGCCTGGCTTTCTTCCATCAGCTGCTTGGCACAGACCTCCAAGGAAGCACGTGGGGCCTGCCTGTACCCCCAGCTGTTTTCAGATTTAGGGGCAGCACGGGAAGGGTGAAGGTAGATGCAAGCTAAAAGTGGGGCTAATCAACCCACAGACAGAAACAGAGATGGCTTTCCGGAATGCACCAGTGTGTTGGGGTCTTCAACTCACCAAAGTTGAATGAGGAGAAATAAAGAAATACACCGTCCGTCGCGGCAGTCATTCAGAGAGGGGTCAAGGGCTCATCCGAGCTACCCGCTGGTGAACCCGTCTTTGCGTGTGCTGTTGGCTTCAGAGCCTTAAAACCTGGTAGGTTTTAAGGTGACAGTGTTTAATCTCTGCACATTTATATTTCCACGAGCCGAAACACACAGCCCTCAATCCACATGCCTTTCATGTATGTGGTAAAGTTCTTCCCGGAAGGCCCTGGACAAGTTTTGAACAAAACCGTTATATGAAGTAATGGCAGATTTAGCATCCATTTGATTCCATGGTGATAACAAAATTTTCTTAGAGCATGTTTTAAAACTCTGGAACATTCTTTGCCTGTTGTGATTGATGCATTGCTTGTCTTTTCTTCTTCTAGACTGCACAGACAGTTCTGGTGGTGGTTGTGGTCTTTGGGATCTCCTGGTTGCCACACCACGTCATCAATCTCTGGGCCGAGTTTGGGGTCTTCCCGCTGACCCCTGCCTCCTTTCTCTTCAGGATCGCCGCCCACTGTCTGGCCTATAGTAATTCCTCGGTGAACCCTATCATATATGCTTTTCTCTCTGAAAATTTTAGGAAGGCCTATAAACAAGTGTTCAAGTGCCACGTGCGCAATGAGTCACCTCTTAATGATATGAAAGAAAATAAAAGTCGAATAGACACCCCGCCGTCCACCAATTGCACTCACGTGTGAGAGCGCCAGAGCAGGCATGTGGAATCTCCCACAGAACACGGTACCACGATGGGTTAGCAAGCCTACAACTTCTTATGCTAATGACAACTCACATCATGTTAATTCCACTTGTTTTGAAAAAGTACTTTGGTCCCTTTAGGAAATCTCTAGGTCTAGTAAAGATTATTTCTGAATTTTATTTCAAAAAACCAAAAGAAAATGCTATGTAGTTTTATACCTTTACAGAAATGAAAGGTTAATAGAATTCCATCCTTATGTTCAATTTTTCATAGAACAAGGATAAGACCTAGAAAAATGGTCAGGAATACTGGTGATCTACATTTTGAAGCCAATTTATTTAGGAAAAAAACACATGTATATGTTAATTCTTCAATTTTAGCAAAAGAGGTAATATTGTGAGGTATGTGTTTTAAAATATGATCATGGACACAAGATGAAAGTTTTACCTGAATTTCATTTTTTGTGGCCATTTGTACAGAGACACATCCATTTAATGGACATGAGACTTTTGCCAAGTTGGTTTGCACCGGCCTCATTTGCCCCCAACTGTGAATAGAGAACAGAGTTTCTGGAGATGAGCTGCACCTGTCTGTGGTCATGAGGGTCCATTAACTTCATCTCTGGGGTCCAGCGCAGTGGCGACTCAGAGCGGCAGATGTTGGCGTGGTTGCTTGAAACTGTTCTGAGACATAGGCTTTGTAGAGTTAACTAAAAAAAAAAAAAAAAAAATCAGGAAAAATGCCAAGTGCAACTATTCTAATAGTAGAAGCTTCAAGTGAGATTCAAGAAGGAAAGTGGTCATTAAAGTTTTACAAATACATCGCCAGGGTGTTTCGCATGCCTCGAATGGAACTGAGCCCAAAGAGAGTAAAAAAAAATGTCAGTGAGGATGATGTGTGGATAACAGTTTATATGGGGCCAGGGATAAGTCAGAATTCAGTAAGCCACATGGTAGTGGCCATGGCACATGCAGAAAGCATACTCAACATGTGATTCAGATAACGTTAGAAAAGGAATCTTCTGGTAGGTGTACCCAGGGTTATATGTTATACAAACAAATGCTTTTTTCATTAAATTTGTACTAATGTTAAATTCACATTTACCCCCAATATCACTTCCTTTGGATACATTCGAGATTAAAACCATCACAAGCTGAATTTCAAATGCACTTTTCATGACAATTTCATATTTATTCATGGGTAGAATGGGAAAAAAAAAACAGGATGAAAGATTGAATTATCCTACCTTAGAATGGTAGTTTTCAGACTCCAAGACTTTGTTATATTTTGGGAGAATACAAAATTGAGAAGACTTTTTAAAAAAGGATTTAGTGTAATGCGCACCTATGTCAAATCAAGATTCCATATGAAATATCAAATTTTCAATTAAAAAACTCAATATAAGTCTCTGCATGTTAAATTTTCTAGCTGATGAATTCAGTGTCACTAACTCTACCCCTCCAGCAGACAGTATTCACATTTGCTGCACTACAACTGAGTCTCTAGCCAGAATAGGAGAAAATTCTTCGAAAGGATGGGGAATCACGAGCTTTTGTGTTTGGGGAAAGAAGTTGCATGTGTGTGTATGCAAGTGTTTTAAAGAAGAGCATTAAGTCCTTTGCATGGAAGATTCTTTGCACTTTATTCAAATATCGCAGCAGAAACATTGTACCCTGACGATGATACCTCATGTGTTTGTGGAACTTGAAGTTGCCATTGAACTCACACAGCCGTACAAAGAGGTGCTTCCCGCTCACCTTTGGACTTGCACGGTTGACAAAGGCTTCCCGCACCCTGGCCGTTCCTTTGTTTTCTTCTTGTGATTCCTCTACACGTGGAAGGATTAGAAGAAATGCAGTACCAAATGCTACTATTTTCTAAGGAGCATGTGGAAGATGTGCTTCAACAGGATGTATTTACATACCCACATGTATTCCCTTGGATCTTCCCATTTGTGGTTGGCATGACGGAAGCCCGAGGCTTAGCGCCAGAGTCGCGGCCAGCACTGCAAAACCTCTGATCTGCTGAGCGTACATACAGACCAGGTAGAGAGAGTGTTCTTCCTGCCCGTTGTCATCTAAGGGTGGCCCACTGGTGTAACCAACTTTGAGACTGATGATGACTTAGGTCCTGCAAAGATCAGAACCTCTGTGAGGATGTCTGCATGAGCAGTTCCAGAAGGACCTTAACAGGCTTCAGGTGCCCAGAGAAGCTTCCGATGTCTTGCATTGACCAAGTGTGTGCTTCCTTGGTGGTTGTTTTTCTAATATATAATTAATGCCACCACTTCAGAAGCACCTTTGGCTCCTTCTTTAAATAAAGAAGGCTTCCCCCAAGACACACGTTTCCTTGCAGCAGCCAGACTAAAGGAGAAATCCTGTGTTTGCCTTTGAAGTTGGGCACCTTGAAAACCATGTTTTTCAGTGAGCTTCAAAGAGAATTGATGTTTTTCTCTTTAGATTTGGCTGCCTCCGTACCACAAGGCGGCTGTTATCTTTTCTGGGCTTTTGGTTTTCACATTTGGACACTGGCTCTGGAATATTTAAATGGCCCAAATGCTGGCTGCTTCATACAGATGGGGACCAATTTCAGTCTCCTGCTGATAAATATGGTGATGTGGTTGGAATGACTTTCTCATCCCGCATCCCCCGAGATATCTTAACTAGATGTTCTCTGCCATTCTGACCATGTGTGTGCTCAGCAATGTGGGGACAGAGGCCATTTGCTGAATATTTTAGGTAAATATTTTTGCTTTTAATGAAATTGCTCTATGCACACATTAGGAGTAAAACAGTCATTTCCTTCTCTTCCTCCATCCACACCCTCTAATGCTTTTCTCAAAATGTGCTTCCATCCTGAGTTTCTCACTCTAATATCTACCCTGGTGAAATCCTTCCTTTGACTCAGATGTGATGAGCTACATGAACAACTGTGTGAGTCACTTGTGAGTTGACTGTAACTTGCAGCCCTGAGGATGATTGCATTTACTCAGCACCTCAGACGTGTGGAGACAGTGCAGTAATAGTCTGCGCATTAGCGGAAACCCGAGGTCAGGCTTTTTCTGAGCAAGAGAGAATAACTTAGCGAGGCTTCCGTTTCCTCTCCACAGATGCCGCGGATGCTTGTGAGTCCCAAAACGCTCGTGTTGAAGCAGCATTGCATTAAATAAAACCATATACAGCTTCACCATGTTCTTGCTTAAAAGGATTTATTAAATGCATGTATATAAACTACATAGTCCTGTAATGGGGTCACTATATCAATGTGGCTACTTCCACTGGACACTTATCTTCCGAATTTCATAAATTGTGATCTACACAGACTGCAGGTATCTCCGAGGTTTTAAATTTCTAAGTGGCTTTCTACATAAGGCAATCCTATTCTTCTTGGCCGTTAGGAAGTGCTGCCTATTATACTATTTGTCAAGTATGTGTTACTGACTTGTTTATTTAAAAAAGCCATCTCTGCAAAGAGTACATGGCCCAAAATGCTGATGGCCACCTGTTGTCTTAGAAAAAATGACAGAATGGCAATTATATTTCAATTTATAATGTTCTTTGATTTTTCTCTTTTAGAAGAGGGAAAGTTGGGCCTGAAGAACAAGCGAGCAGACCGACAGAGTCAGTGGTGTGGGCTGTGTCTGCGGAAGGCCAGCTCGTCTGGGGAGGGCGTCGGGTGCTTTTACCATCCTTGGCTTTGCAGGTTCACTCAGTCACCTTTGTAACTCCGGCTGCCCTGCCGGGACCCTGGCGCGGGCACATCTACTCGATTGTGCGCCATCTTTAGGAACATGAGCAGGCGCTGGGCATTTGCGCCTCTGCTGGGAGTGCTGCTACTCACGGCTGGCTCCCGGGCTGGCGCTCAGCACACGCGCCTCCAGAACTCGGGTTGTGTCCTGGGCGCAGCTGCAGCAGGAGCGTCCATCCTAGGGCGTGGGGAGGAAGATCGTAGCTCTGAGTACACTGCGGAGGTAACCTCAGTGGGACTCGCTTTGTCTGTTCTGACGTTGGCTAATTTTCCTCTTTTGGAGCAACTGCATGGAGAACTGATTTCACAGTGAAGGGTTTTGATGTCACTTTGGGGGTGGAAAGCCTCATCCTTTCTGCTGGTGAACAGATCTCTGGATTATCTGTATGTATGTTGTGCGAGTGCAGAATTTCAGTGTTAAGGAGGTCAAAACAAAGATCACCAGCTGCTGGAATCGATTGGAACCAGGATCCACCATTCAGAGTCTTTACTCGCAGGCAGTGGTGATCAGTAAGGTCACCTATAGACGGGGATGAACCTCGTGGTCCACTCTGGGTTTCCTGTGGGACACCCCTCACTATATACAGCGCCTTACTTCAAAAGATTGAATACTGACTGTTAAAACTGAAGCTATTTTTGTGTGTTTGTTCTCAAGACCACTGTGGATCTTTTAAGCTCCTTTTCCCCCTGTGGTGAGCTTGTTTCCGGCAGTCAAGGTAATATGCCTTCCAGTGGGTGAAAATGGGATGGTCTCGGGCAGGGGCTGGTGAGGAACAGGTGACTGGCAGCACTTTACAGTGTGGTGAGCAAGCTTTCTGAAGGGCAGTAGGGCCACGCCTCCAGGACCTGGAAGGGACGGTGAGGCCACGCCTCCGGAAGGGCAGTGAGGCCACCCTCCAGGGGCTGGTAGGGGCGGTGAGGCCACGCCTCCAGGCTCAGAAAGGGCCCTGGAGGCCAATTTTGGGCCGAATGGTTTATGTGTGGGGGGCAAGGAGCACACGCTGCTGCCATTGCTGATGTGACAGGTGACATGAGAATCCTGGCTGTGATGGGACCTGTCCCTAGGAGAAAATCCGTGGTAGCCCACTCATGGAGCGGAGTACCAGTGGTGAAATGGGAGTCTTCAGGATGTAACGGGCTGTGTCTTGAATGTTCTGAAAAGGCAAAGCATCACCTGGGTGTTGGTTGTAGAGCCCTCTCCTTGGGGACCACGGATGGCTAGATCTTTGGGGTGTACATGGAGGCGGGAGAGTG